CACTGGCTTCCACCAAAATAATTCAATTTTAATTGGACAAATGGTCCTCTCTACTCTTACAGTTAATTTTTTTTTTGGGGGGGGGAGGTAGAAAGCATAAATGCACACTTATTTTGAATCTCCACAACATGTAGCAACCTACTTTATCTGTTCAAAATATACTTTATATGTTCAATATATGTGCTGTTTATTGATTGACTAAAGAAAAAGACCCTTGAATTGCATAAATTATTCTCCCAATCTATTTTGTATCATTTCTGTCTTTCCTTCATTGTCCATTTCTTTCTTGTTTTTTTTTTGTTTTGTTTTTTTTTTGAGAGAGAGAGTTTTTGCTGTAGAAGGGAAAGTGTGCTCGCCAGAGAGACAGAAAGCAAGAAATCCCTCCCCCCACCCCAGGGGAAATGACCATGCCACAATCTCTTCTCCTCCTGTTTCCTCTCAGGATTTTGGGCACGCACACACATGCACCCAGTGTGAGTTTTTTGTTTTGTTTTGTTTTGTTTTGTTTGTAGAGGTTTTTGCTATAGGGTGCGTGCACTCACCAGGGAGACAGAGAGACAGAAAGTGAGAAATCACCCCCCAGGGGGATGGCCATGCTGCAATCCCTTCTCCTCCATTCTCCCCTCAGGATCTTGGGCACATACGCACATGTGCCCGGCATGAATTTAAGCCACCGGGTCCGGAACGCGAACTGTGGTCAACTACATGGGAGTCCAGCGACATAGCCATTACACCAGCTGCTGGTCCCCCAGTGTGAGTTGTAAGCCTCCAGGTCCAGGACTTGAACTGTGGTCATCTACGTGGGAATCCAGTGATGTAACCATTATGCCATCTGCTGGTCCCTCATTGTTCACTTCTTAACTGGAGGCAAATTTGTACCAGGAGGAAGTCTGTGAATGGAAAGGATAAAGTGACAAGGAAAGAGAATGGAGTAGATGCAAGCATGGGTTTTTTCATAACTATTGATTGCTTGACTCTGCTTTCAGGTTCCATTGATTTGTTAGCGTTGACTGGATTTACTGCTTCTATGCTTTTTTTCCAAGAGCCAATATTCTGCTTTCCCCGCAGCAATGCGTCCCTCGTGCACCGGTCATTTCCCTGAGACCCCCAACGTACCCAGGAAACAGCCAGGAGCTGCGAAGTAAGCCAAAGTACCTCTGAGCAACCAGAACAGATATCGCCACTTCACCACCACCCGGACACTTACATAAGGTAGAACGGCCTTTGGAGAGCTCTGCGTACAAGTCTAACAACTCATATGTGTGATTCTCTGACGGAGCACGTGAGACACAGCTAATGTGTCAGGAGGCTAGGAAAGTAAGACTGCCAATGACTGGGATGCTGACAACCACGAACAGAACACCTCACCCACTGATAGAAAAAGAGCAAGCAAAAACAAAAACAAAAATGAAATGAAACAAAAAAAAAAATCCCACCTTGTAAAAGCAAGACCAAAAAGCAGGGAGATTTGATCATACCATATAGAGGCAAGCAGCCCCATACTTGAAGTGCACATAAGGACATCCTCATATTCCAGTGTGAGAGAAGTTGACGTTCACTGTGTTTAGCCTGAGATAGAAAGAAAAGGGGAAAAAATGTGTTCCACAAACTATTGCAGAAGGCAAGAAAGTACATAGTATATTTTAGAAAGATTTCTGGCTGATGGGACCAGCAGTTGGCATAATGGCTATGTCGCCGGACTCCCATGTAGTCGACCGTGGTTCGAATTTTGGACCCGGTGGCTTAAACTCACGCTGCGCATGCATGCCCAAGATCCGGAGAGGAGAATGGAGGAGAAGGGATTGCGGCGCGGCCATCCCCCCGGGGGGTGATTTCTTGCTTTCTGTCTCTCTGTCTCTCTCTGTCTTTCTGGAGAGCGCACGCACCCTATAGTAAAAAAGAAACCTCTCCAAAAAAAGAAAAATATATATATATATATCTAAAGTGAAATAAGAAATCTATGTGAACAGTGACCAAGAGCGTAGTAAGAAGAAGCCCTGAATACTAATCAAGGCCCTCATCCCCAGAGGAGCCTCTCACTTAAAGCCAGCTTCTCCCAACACCCTAAATTGCCCAAGCAGCTGCAGATTCCTTCAGACCCTTCGCAGGGCAAACTAGCGAGTGTGACCACCGTCAGGCAGACACTGCACAATGGCGGCTGCTGCCTCTGTTACTCCTGTGCTGGCCTCTGTTACTCCTGTGCTGGGGCCCGCGCCACACATGATGGGCCACACATCTGATGAGCAGAGGTCCACGGTTCGTCCACCATGGACTCGCATTGTTCATCTGCGAAGCAGGCTCGGTGAGCGTCATTGTCCATCTCCCAACAGATGAAGATAGAGAGGCTCTGAGACAGTGACACAACCAGTGAGGGATCAAGCCAGATCTTCCATCCCCAGAACAGGGAGGGCTTCATCCTGTACAATATCCATGCCAAGAAAAATCTGACAGTATCAGGGAGGGGGCTAACCCAATTTCTCTCGACCTATAAGAGTGATTCTTACAGTATACCTAAGCGTGCTTTCCTTCTGCGTCATGACCCGTAAAATACCTTGCGAAGACAGAAAACACCATATGTGACATTCTACTCTTAAAAAACCTTACTTTACATGTTATTGGGATCAAATGGTTGTAGCTAGTTGAAATTAACAGTATTACTTAGAGATTAAGATTAACCTAGTTGTGAGCTTGTTTAAATAACTTAAAAAGCCACATGAATGGGACCAGCAGTTAGTGTAACGGCTATGTCGCTGGACTCCCATGTAGTCGGACCACGGTTCGCATCCTGGACCCGGTGGCTTAAAACTCATGCTGGGCATGTATGCGCATGCCCAAGATCCCGAGAGGAGAATGGAGGAGAAGGGATTGCAGCATGGCCATCCCCCCTGGGATGTGATTTCTCGCTCTCTGTCTCTGTCTGTCTCTGTCTGGCGAGTGCACGCGCCCTATAGCAAAAACTTCTCAAAAAAAGAAAAAAGCCATGTGAAAGAATAGAGTTGTAAGTGTAAGACATAATAAAAATATTGTCTACAAACAATACATTATAGAAATTTAGATGCAGTGTTAGACTCATTCACATGTGAGCGACATATGTCGCTATAGTGTATGGCTGAGAAATTAATGCACTTCCTCTTTCAAAGTATTTCTCAGGGGCTGACAGGTGGCGTGGTGATTAAGGGTGTTGGATTCCCACATGGCCAACCTTGGTTCAAGTCCCAGACCTGACGGCTTGCTTTCTCACTTTCCCTCTCTCTCTCTCACTCTGTCTCTCTCGTCAAATTTAAATAAATAAAGTTAAATAAAATAATTATTTTTAAAAACGAAAACAGAATTTCTCTATCAGGCCAAACTGTGAAGTGGTTAAAGCAACTGGGTCCCCTTGGCTGACCACACAGTTCAAGTCCCAGACTTGAGTAGCTTGAAAATCATGTAGGGGGCTTGTGCTTGCCTCAGATCCTGAAAGGAGGAAGAAATGGAGGAGAAGATATTGAGACTTGACCAGGCCCTATAGGGGGTGCTTTCTCTCCTCCCTACCACACAATCAAGTACAACAGCCCTCTGACAAAACTTAAAAAAAAAGAAAAGTATGTATTTCTCTGTCAATAGCTATGTCTGCAATGCAATGTGCCATCTGCTGGATGAAATGGGTACTATTTTGTAAGGCTGTACATAGACACGGTCCAGTGTTTGACAGTCATATCTTTCAAAGAAAACGTTTTCAATATTTGAATTCTGACTAAGATTTTAGAAAATAGTTGTTTCTATCCCACACCAATATCCTAATCCTCTTTTGAAGTTACTGATAAAGAATCTCATTGACAGATTCGAAAGCTTCTTAAAGATTAGTTTGGTACTTTCTATTATTATCAGCTGAGTGACTCTCCTCAAAAAAAAAAAAAAGAACTCACAATTATGTGTAGTAATATAACTATGGATTCATTTCTTGGTAGTTTCCCACATCTCAATAAAATGCATCTCAATAAGTATGCACAGATAAAAAAAAAATCACAAGGCTTGTCCCATTTTATTATTTCATTTCACCACTATTTATTCCCATGTAGTGCACTGAATTTTGGTGATACACAACCCAACAAGGTGTGGTCCCAATTCTCTGGAATCTTATCATTGAGTGGAAGATGGTAAGAAGCAAATTAACTATTGTACGGTAATACATGTCATGAACCCTGGGATGGGGGTTCCTGAGGGGGTCCGCTGAGGTTCAGGGGTCCGCTGAGGCTGTTCGGCACACATCCATCGGCCTCTCTACAGCAGTGACTTTCAACGGGGGCCAATTCGCTACACATTCCCACTCCCCTCACCTTGGGCCCTTTGCCCATGTCCGGAGACGGTGTGATCATTACAACTGTCCGGGGAGGAGGTGTGCGCTACTCGCCAGGGACGCCGCTAAACATCCTATACTCAAGGCCCCACCGCCACGCATTGCCCAGTCCCCAACATGGATAAGTCAGTTTTGAAACGCTGTCTTGCCCAATCCTGATCCCTCCTTTCCCTTTTCACAGGTGTTGATCCTGAAATCATTCTTTTTTTTAAGAAGAGGGACTATTTTAAAGCTTAACGTTGCAAGTGATTCTTGTTTTCCTTTGCGCTCAAGTGCCTGGCTCTTCCAAGATGCGTGTTTTTGTTCTTTGTTTTCTTCTTGTGTTTTGTTTCTCGTATTACGCGCACACAGGTTATCTTTGCAGCCTGGGGAGGGAAGATGTAATGCATAGCATCGAACACTGCAGAGAGGCCAGATCATAGCAGATAGGAGACTGGGGCGGGCTGCAGTGACGTCAGCGAGACAGGTGTACTAGAAGGGACGCTGGGAGAAAAGCGGCAGAGGGGTGATTTCTCACTTTTCCCCTCACTGTCTCTCTCCAGTGAACGCACATGCCCTAGGGCAAAAACCTTAAAAAAAAAAAAAGAGCTCTCCAAAAAGACCTCTAACTGCAGAGTTTTCCAAAGTGGAACAAAGTGGACGTGTCCTGCAGCACCCAGAGCCTCACTTCCCTAGCACCGCTCCGCCCCCCAATTCCTCTCCCACTCCCAGGACTCAGCGGTGGTGTGAGACCTCTGCGGTACACAGCCATCAAAGATGGTGAGCTGTGTTTCTTTCTTTCTTCCATGAGAGGGACAGAGAGACAGCACCTCCAAGAGGGTCCTCACACTGTGATCCACTCCCAACTCCGGCCAGCCCAGACCACAGACACGCACGCATGTGGCATGTCCAGGGAGGTGTCCAGGCCACATAGGTCAGTGTCGCACAGCTCCCAGGTCGTGGGAATTCAGACACCGTTTGAAGGACTGGTTGTCAACTGAAGGCGACGTCCCCCACCCTCCCGTCCCAGGGGCATTTGGCAATATCTGGAGATGTTTCTGGTTGTCACAAACGGGGGTGAGGGATGGGCCTCCAGTAGGTAGATCCTTTTAGTAATAAATATCCCACAATGAATGCACAGGGCAGTTTCTCAGATGAAGAATTATCCAGCCTCAAATGTCAATAGATGGCACAGAGGGTGACAACATGCTTCAAATAGTTTCTCATCTAAAGGACCCTTCAAAAATTTGCTATCATCTGCTGAAGGGTCATTTATAATTTGAAGTTTATGCCTCAGACAAATGAAGTATCAGGTAAGATGGGGAGGAAGATGGTATTTATAAATGTCCACCAGATGGCGCTAAAACACAAGAAAAACCCCAGCCTCCGCTCGCCTCCATTTCGCCTTCGTTTGCCCTCTAAGGTAAGCGCTCATCTTTTCCTCTGCAAATTAGGATCGTCACTATTTATGCACGGGGTATTTGTTTCCCACCACCCGGATTTTCCTGCAAGTGAGTTAAAATTGATAATGACCAAATCAGCCTGGAAGTTGAGAAGAATAGGGCCACCTCCTCAATCTGCTGCAAACTTCCCTTCCCTGTAACAACCAGGGTATGAAAGAACCCGCTAGGTTTTTGTCCCCTTCTTCAGCTAACTTTTAGCTGAGCATATAGTAAACTGAGAGACGGATCACCCCAAGACTTCTTTACCAAGACTTCTTTACCTTTAGAGTGACCGAGTGATGCAGTTCTGGCCATCAGTGGGATGTGAGCAGTGTGGTGGGCAATTTCTAGGTAGTATCCTTACCGCTGCGGTTCTCAGCTGGGGGTAAGTAGCACACTCCCTGGGGAGGGGACATTTGGCAATGTCTGGAGACATTTTTGGTTGTCACAACTGGCGTATGCTCCTGGCACCTAGTGGGCAGAAGCCAGGGATGATGCTAAACACCCAGCAATGCACAGGACAGTCCCCCCACACACACACACAGGAATTATCCAGTCCCAAATGAGAATAGCGTCAGGGTAGAGAAATCCTACCCTAGAGGGAAGGGGCTCCTGGCTTCCCCTAGCCCTCTTCCTGCTGGTTGGAAGGAAGGTGCAGGGGAAGAATCTTGTCTAATATAATCCCCTTCAACATATCCACACTTTCTGGCATGGTGTACAATTATTTTACTTATTACCTCTGTTCTACCCAAGAGATAGTTAATTTTATGAGGTCAAAAAACATCGTGTTCACCACTGTATAGCCTATAACTAGATACCATATTGTTTTTAAAGTTTTTACCATAGGGCACGTGTACTCACTGGAGAGAGAGAGACAGAGAGAGAGAAAGACCACCCACTAAGGGGAATGGCCACACTGCAATCCCTTCTCCATTCTCCTCTTGGGATTCTCAGCACGCACACACATGCACCTGGCATGATTTTCAAGCCACTGGGTCCAGGACTCAAATCGTTGGAGGCCATCTAGGAATCCAGAGCCTTAACCACACCACCTGCTGGTCCTGCCACATATATCATTTTAAACATTCTAGTAACACATTAATAAAGTAAAAGAGAAATCTCAAGTTAATTTGAATCTTTTTTTTTAACTTAAATAACCCTTCCTTAGGCTATGACCACTATTTTTTAAAAAGAGATTATTTTACATTCTTTTTCTCATACTGAACTTGCAAGTCCAGTGTGTAACTTTCCCCAGAAAGACATCTCAGTTCAGACCACTACAATCCTGCCCACAGCCACACACCGCTAGTGGCTAAAAACACCCCAGCGGCGCGCA